TAAATCATATGTTTTTAAGCATCCCATGTATTAAAATCTGCCCTGTAAGGGAAAGTTGATGGCCAAATCTCTTCAATATGAGGGAGTCGACGGCTCAAGCGCCGGAAAGAGCATACGGGGCCACCCGTCGTGACGTCCAAAGGCCCACCTCCAGGCCAGCCGCCCGCGGCAGACTCCACGAAGCAAGAACGAGACGTCGACGTTTTTGGATCCGGGGTCCGTGCCAATTTTGGCTCAAGCCACCGAGGCGCGGCACTCGTCGCTCATCTGGGGAGCACTCCGCCCCTCGGTCACGTTTTGAGTGTCAAGCGCTCGTCATCAAGAGGCTGCTCGGAGCATGGCGCGAGGGAACAACAAAAAATTGGCTCGAGCCACTTCGGCTGCATGCCGCTCCGGTCCAGACAATCCCTCGATGCGGGTGCCTTGCAGGCGCGGTCCCCCCGGCCAGCCCAGGCACACACTCGCCAGGGCGCGCTCCGCGTCCCTGCTGGCTGCCTGCGCCGCCGCGGCGGTCGCCGCCCTGTCGCTGGGCTCCCTCGTGCTACCAGCCTGGAACACATCCCTATCCCTATGCTGGGCATCTCCTCATCACGATGCCAATCTCAGGGATTCCCTTACTTTTTGAGGGCGTATCCCTAAGATTGTCACCGCCTTCTTTGGCGTGTCAATCTTAGGGGTAGGGATAAGTTCGAGGCTGGTAATCGTGGCGACCTTCGCCGGCGGGTCATCGTACCCCTTTTTTCCGGTACCCATGTCGGGCGTTCAAAGTGATGAGCATCCCCTTCTTCGGCTCGGCGGTCGCGAACGGCAACGGCTTCTTCGGCCCGTGGTGGGCTCCCATGCGCCGCCTGCCGGGGTCGGCCGGGGCGGCTTCCCGACGGCCGAGGTCCTCTGGGGCTCGGTGCTCGCGAGCGGCAGCGGTCTCTCTTGGGGCCGTGGGGAGCCCCCGGGGGCGGCGACGTGCGGCCCTGCAGGGGCGACGCCTCGTCAGCACCATGTCTTTTCCCGTGTTGCTTGCGCACCTATTCGGCGCTCTCCTGCAGCCTGGCACGAGGCTTGTCGATTTTGTCGAGCCCGACAGGTAACGAAAACAGGTTTGGATCCAGGGTTTCCGGAATCGGCCAGGGGATGCCGACATCCAGCCCGCCCAAAAGTCAGTGTCAGGAGCGAGAAATGGAGGCACGCGAGTAAGCATCAGCAGTCTCAAGGAAAAGAAACAACTTTCATGGACTCCAGACTTTGCCTAAGAAAATTGTGAATTTGGACGGGACCCTGGGCGTTTTCTTGGAGCTTCTTTTTATCGTCGAACTTTTCGTATATCTGGACATGGACTACTGTTTAAGAGACGCTGGGAGTGACGCCCATTTTCTTAGCGTATAATTTTTCCTTACCTCTACGTTGGGGTGTGCGCGAATTTGCATGGGTTCCAAGAGAACACTTTACGTTGTGTGGTCTTTCAGGGAAATCTCAGAGGGTCCAACAAGTCTTTGCGGTTTTCGAGATTTCGTCCAGATTTCATCGGATCTGGCCTACGTCTGGACGAAATTTGGACGAGATCTGGACGGAGGGTGAAGAGGGCGGCTCGAAATTTGGACGAAATCTGGCCGAAATCACGTTTACGCCCGGTCCGCGGTCACAGAGGCTCCCATGAAGGCCCACCCAATCTCGCGCAAGCGTTCGCGACACGGGGTCGATTTTGTTAGCTGGGGGGCACGCTCATGCTCGTGGCTTGGCGCGTACGCTATTTTCTGGGCTCCCCAACTCTCACAGTCGAGGATCGAGGCTCGAGGCTGGAGGATCGAGGTTTCTTGATGTTTGAGCCTTGTTCGAGCCTTTGCAGGCCTCAGGAGAGCTTGGGTGGGTTTCAAGTCTCAGTGCACCAGCGAAGCCACGGAGGCCTAGCAGATGTTGGAGGCGGCGCGTCAGCTTGACTGAGCACCAGTGACGTTTCCTGGTGTGCTGTCTCTTCCGTGCTTTCTGCCTGCACGGGGGCCATCTTTCATACAACCCAGGGCGGCCCCAACAGAGCGCCAAGAACAGCCCACGGAGGACCCCCAGAGGGCTCCAAGGCTCCGAGGCGCTGCCGACGAAGACAGGGGCTCCAAGGCTCCGAGGCGCTGCCGACGAGGGCTCCAAGGCTCCACGGTTCCAAGAATAATAAGAATAATAATAATAAGAAGAGTACTAATAAGACGAATAAGAAAAACAACAATCATAATAATACTACTAATAATAAGAAGAATAATAATAATAAGAAGAAGACGACGACGCCGAAGACGACGACGACGTCGACGGTGATGGCGGCGGCGGCGGCGACGACGACGGCGACGACAAGGACGACGACCATCTAGCTAATATGTGATCCAAAAACAGTTTTGAGCTTCATTTGTTTTTCCCTCTCCCGGTACTTCGCCTCCCAGTTCCTGTTCAAGGCGTTCCTTTGCATGCACTTCGCTTTCGGCACCGCCTGATCCCGGGGCTTTGCCCTCTCCTGGCCTTGACGTGAGGCCCCTCCTTCTGTTTTCCTTCCTCTGTTACTTAAAGCTGTGCGCGGCCCGCTTAGCTTCGACCGGAAGAGGCTCGCTCTCGACCCGCGGATCAAACAAAAAATCCTTCTCCCTTGTACATGCTGGCTAAGTCTATGCACACATTCTCTTTCAGGGGGGACCCTCGTCATACCAGCTCCCGAGAGAAGCAGTCAGCACTGCGCTCTATATGCCCCCTGCGCCGCCGTGGCCGTCATGCGAGCTGGCGCGCCCGCGGGCAGCTCACCGACTTGATTGTGCTTGCGAGAAGGTCTCGGGCGAGAGTGCCGTTCCCGTGTTTCGGGTCCTCTTTCGGCTTCGGCACCGCCTGTATCCGAGGCTACGCCTCCTCTCGGCCTCGCTCTGAGGCTCCGCCGCTTCCTCCCTCCTTTTCTCTGCCAAATTCAAGCTTCGCGCGGCCCGCTTAGCTTCGACCGGAAGAGGTGCGCTCTCGACCCGTGGATCAAAAAAAGTTTCGGGTCCTCTCTGGCCAAGGCGTCTCCGAGTAAATTGTGAGGCAGTCTGGAACGGGAGCCGTTGTCGTCGCAGGTGGGCCGTTACGAACTCGACGGACCTGCAGGGAAGTGTCGGACGAGAGCGCCGTTCGCGAGTTTCGGGGCCTCTCTGGCCAGGGCGTCTCTGGATTCACTAGGAGGAAGTATCGAGCCAGAGCCGTTATCGTAGTAGCTGTGTCGTTGCCAACATGATTGAATTGCGTAGAAGTCGAGCGACAGCGCGGTTCCTGTGTTTTGGGCCCTCTCTGGCCAAGGCGTCTCCGACTAACTTGTGAGGGCGGAGCGGGAGCCGTTGTCGTCATAGCTGGGCCGTTACCAACTTGACCGGATTGCGAGGAAGTCTTCAACGAGAAGATTTATCCTGAGTTTCGGGGCCTCTCTGTCCAGGGCGTCTCGGAGTTCATTATGAGGAAGTATCGAGCGGGAGCCGTTGTCGTCCTTCAGGGGGTGGGATCTGGAGGCAGGCCCGCGCTCGAGCGGGAGCGTCGTTTTCAAAGAGAACGCAGCCGACGTCCGTGCGAGAGCGCCCGGAAACGCTTCCAGAGATCAGCAACAATTCCCCAAACGGTGCTTGCACTTACGGGTTCGTGCCTTGGAGCCCAGGGACGGTCCTGCCGGCTCGTCGCCGCCCGTCGCTGCCCGTCGCCGCCGGGCTCCACTGGCGGTCCCGCCAGATCGTCGCTGCCCGTTGCCGCCGTTGCCGCTGGGCCCCAGCGGCGGTCCGGCCGGCTTGTCGCCGCTCGTCGCCGCGTTTTTTTAGCATCGTATTGCATTTTATTGCTTTGCATTGCTTTGCATTGCTTTCCGTGGCTTTGCATTGCTTTGCCTTGCTCTGCATTGCTTTGCATTGCGCCTGCTTGCTTTGCATTGCTTTGGATTGCTTTGCGTTGCTTTGCATTGCTTTGCATTGCTCTGTATAACTTTGCATTGCTTTGCATTACTTTGCATTGCTTTGCATTGCTTTACACTACTTTTCATTGTTTTGCATTGTACTTTGCATTGCTTTGCATTGCTTTCCGTTGCTTTGTTTTGCTTTGCTTTGCGTTGCTTTGCATTGCTCTGCGTTGCTCCGCATTGCTTTGCATTGCACTGCGTTGCTTTACGTTGCTTTGTTTCTTTGCATTTCTCTGCATTGCTTTGTATTGCTTTGCATTGCTTTGCGCTCCCGTGCATTGCTTTTCATTAACCTTCACTGCTTTCCATTGCTTGCCATTGCTTTGCATTGCTGTGCATTGCTTTGCATTACTTTTCATTGCTTGGCATTGCTTGGCATTGCTTGGCATTGATTTGCATTGCTTTGCTTTGCTTTGGACTGCTTTGCATTCCTTTGCATCGCGCGTTGCTTTGTGCCATAAAGGCTGCACCACATTGGCTGCACCTCCTAGATTCCACCGCACTGATTGCACCACCTAGATTGCGCCGCGTATATTGTAAGGCATCACTGTTTGGAGTCCATGCCTGCTAAATTCAACCTCTCGGGGTGAATATCCTAGGACGACTGGGGCGACATCAGGGACAACGCAGATGAGGATGACGACTGACCTGATCAGGACGACGACGAGGACGATGCCTAGGACGACGACGTCGAAGACCAGGACAACCACGAGGACGACGGCTACTTGGGACGACGACGACGACAAGGAGGATGCCGGCGCGGACGACGACCCGCTCGGCTAGGAAGACGGCGATGAGGACGGCGACGAGCGAGACGACCGTGACGACGAGGATCAGAGGCCAGCAACATATGTACACGTACGCGGATAGCTTCCCCTGGAGGGCATTTGAACGAGGACGTTCGTGCACTCAAGATCGCGGAGGGCGTACATGTACATATGTCGTTGCTCGCTCAGAGGAGGACGGCGGCGAGGAACACGACGGCGACGAGGGCGGGACGACGACGGCCACGGCGGCCACGGCGACGACGCCCACCCGCTGGCGGCCTGCGCCGCCCTGCCCGCAGCCGGCGGCGCCCGCGGGCCGGCGCGCGGCGGCCCCGCGGGCGGCCGCCCCGCCCGCCAGCTTCGCCATCGAGGCGCGGCGCCCGCCGCCCGTCGTCGGCGTCGTCGGCGTTGGCGTCGTCGTGGGCGTCGTCGTCGTCGTCGTCGTCGTCGTCGTCGTCGTCGTCGTCGTTGTCGTCGTCGTCCTTTGCGTCGTGGACGCGTTCGTTGGCGTGGACGTGTTCGAGGGCGTGGTCGTGGTCGTCGTCGTCGTTGTCGTCGTCGTCTTCGTCGTCGTCTGGATTTCTACGTTTTCTTGATGTGCGTCTTCTCAGAACCGACGTTGTGGCCAGAATGCGCTCCAGTAGCGCTCCCGTACAGGTCTGGTTGTCAACTCTGGCAGGGGGTCGTCGTCGGCGTCGTCGCCGTCGCCGCCGCGAGGGAGGGAGGGAGGCGAAGGGATGGGGGGGGAGGAGGGGGGAGAAGAGGCAGGGATCGGCACGCGGGGTAGCCGAACAAAACGCCTTCCTGGGGCGGCGCCGCCGCCGAGCCGGGCTGGCCTCGCTCTCCAGGGCTCCGCCGCGAGCAGCCGCTCTCTCGGAGGCCGGGAGGCGGCCCCTCGAGCTTGGATCGTGCTGCCAGTTCCACATGCAGTGCCTCATGCTGGGGCACGTTAAAAGATGTGTTGCCGTTGTTGTCCTCAGATGTGTGAGGCTGCGCCCCCCCCCCCCCCTCTCTGGTTAATTCAAGCTTCGCGCGGCCCGCTTAGCTTCGACCGGAAGAGGTGCGCTCTCGACCCGCGAATCAAAAAATGTTTTGTTGGTTCAATTACCCAAACTGCGAGGGCCAGGTCAGACAGTGGCGATGGAATCAGTGCAGGCACGAGGATGGTGACCACCTCTCGCTCGTACGAGGCGTTGAGTGGTGAAGGCGTGGGGGCCATCAGGAGGGGTGGCGCTTCTATTCGGAGGCCACCTGCCAACTTGGAATGGTAGTGGTCACGAACTTGTGTGGGGACAGCCGGTGCGAGCATTTCTTCAGTTCAGGGATTGGGCACGGTTGCAATCTACAGTGTCTACCTCTACAACGGAGAGGGCCTCGCAGCCAGCCGTATGACGATATGGAAGGCCCTGAGCGCGGACTGGACGACACACGATGGCCCATCGAATTTTGCAGGCGATTCCAACATTGAACCTATGGAGCTCCTTGACAGTGTTCCCTGGAGAACCCTTCAGGCGACGCTAAAGAGCACGCACTCGTACACCTACAGCAGGGGGGTGTCGCATCCAACATCGACTATTCCGTTGTCAGCTCAGTCCTCGACGGCCTGATCGCCGATTTGACGGTCAGCCATGAGCTCCCAAATGGAATGCACTCATGTTCGTTTGAAACTAGGTTCGATACCCACGAAATTTTGGTCAAGGTTTGGGATCAGTTTGAGCAGCTCCCGACTCAGTGGGTGATGGACCCTCCAGGGGCCCTACCTTCGTACGGTAGCGAGATTCATAACCTAGAACGCATTCTTAGTAACTTGGTGGTGTCGATGAGGAGCACTGGCAGCTTTGAGGGTAGGCGCGTCGAGCGGCGCAAACCATGATTGACGAAGTGTCCTCTTCGTTTTGCGAGAAGGCCTTTGAGGAGCTTGGGCTTGTTACGGGGTCTTCTGGGCAAGGTCTCCCAGGAGGCTTAATGCTTTCCTTTTCTGCTAGGCCGTTGTCTAAGGCCCTCGGCACACAAGCTATACTACTGTGTGAGCATCCTCAGAATTTTAGCATCCGGAGGATCACGTTGACTTGTCCAGTAAAAAAGCTTCGACCAAACGGTGGAAGTGGATTTTGTGATAAAGCGATGGAAGGAGGGGCGGAGAAGGCCCACAGGATTCAGAAAGAGAGCCCTGAGTCGTGCCGCGAGAGTCCAGTCTCGTTCTCCCAATCTTCTACTAGGATCCTCACCTCCCTTTCTATCGACGGTGGTTTTGGACGCGGGAAAGATCTTGATGCTAGATTCTTGATGCCCGGACTGTGGATTTGGTAAAAGGCTCGACAAGCTAAGCTAGTTTTCCCCGAGACTCTGCAAGAGCCCATGGGTAGAACAGTCGGGGTGCCGCCGCTAGCTTCTGTCGAGCACATCCGCAAGTGCTCCCTCCGCTTTCATGTTGCAATCTGTCGGCCAGGCGGGTTCCACCCAATACGCTGTTGGCTACTGCACGACCGAGCGCTGCACTGTGTCTCATTTCGTTTCGTGCGGAGATTCTGGTCAGCACTGGGCCAACTGGCTTGCAGTCCCTGGGCGTCCTGTTTATGCGAGAGCCAGGTGACGGCGACCCTTCGAGACCCATCGGCCAACCCCAAGCTCCCCCAAGGCTGTTCAGAGCGTTTCAGAGATTCCGGGCGCGGGAGCGTAAGGCTGAAGGCGGCATGGCGGGCTCTTTCCCTGCCACCCAGAAGCGGTCGTCGCCGATGGACTCTGTTTGGAGGGTTTCAGTGAGATCGGAACGAGCTGGGGCCAATCAGATGCACGCATTCAATTTGCTGTCGGACATCGAGCTGTTCTGTGAGCATGGTTTTAGAGGAAAACTCAGATTATGCCGACCCCGCGAACTACCCTGTCGACCTCCTCGGCTTCTCGGTCTCATACAGGTGTGTTCGGAGTCTCCTGTTCGACGGCATGGTTTCAGATAGCATGTGGGCCAAGCGTGGTGTAGTACCAGGCGAAAGTACTGCCACGTACGAAACTAAGTTCTTCTTGAAGCCAGGGGTGGGAGATCCGGCGGGGAGTTGACCAGACCAAGCGGAATCTTATTTGCGCATCGAGTATCTGTTCAGGTAAGTCCAGGGTCTCAGTATGAGTTTTTTGTTATCACACTTGTTCGACGAACCGTTGCCGTGCCAGCGCAGCGCATGATTGCGATACATCTCCGCATGATTTGCTGCAATAATGCACGTGCACATGCATACATGTCTTGCGCTTCAGTAGCCGCAGAGGCTCGAATCTAGAAGTCAGTCTTTGACAAGATCTAGAGCCAGGCATCAAAAAGGTGCGCATCTACAGCTTGAGAGTTCTTTGGTTTCATCGGTCCAGTGCACCATGACAGAGTTGGCTGGGACCATGTCTAGGTGCCTTCAGGGAGCCCTGTATCTCCTTCTGTCCGTGGGCAAGTTTGCGATGACGGCCTCCGGCGTGCCGCTTCGGTGCAGAGCCAAGAATGCCTTCGGGGACTTCGGAGGAGGGTCCTCCCCTGCGGTCGCCCACCTGGGTGTGGGCTTCACCTCGGGAGGGCCTCGGAGAAAGCGCGGCCGACTCAAGACTAGAGGGTGTTGATGGTGTTTAGGATGGTGATGATGCTGGGGATGATGATACTGCTGCTGCTGCTGCTGATGCTGATGATGATGATGATGATGATGATGATGATGATGATGATGATGATGATGGCGATGCTTTACCAGAGACAGAAGAACCACTACCACCAGCTAGGCGGGTGGCTGTCCCACCCTTTCGAGCTGGTGGCACCTCGTTTCGGGCATGCCTCCAGAGAGTTCCCGGAAGGAGGTGCCACCAGCTCGAGGTGAGGGAGCGGCCACCCCCCTAGCCGACGGTAGTGGTACTTTTGTCTTTCGTGAATGCTGTTGCTGCTGATGATGATGACGATGCTACTGTTGCTGATGAATGATGATATTATATAATGATGGTGATGCTGATGATGCTTATGGTGATGATGATGTTGCGTCGGTGGAGATGGCGATGATGGTCGTGATGAAGATTCGGACGATTATTCTGATGATGGTGATGATGACGATGATGTTGATGATGTCGATGGTGCGGGTGATGCTGCGGTGATGATGATGACGATGATTATGATGAACATGCTGGTGGTGATTGTGATGATAATGCTGATGATGCTGCTGATGATGATGCTGCTGATGATGACGATGATGATTAGGATGATGACGGTGATGAGGATGATACTGATGATGATCATGACGACGATGACGATTCAGGACCTGGCCCAGTTCCCCGGCGCCCGGAAGACGCTGCGCAAGGAGCTCGCCGAGTCGGTGGCGATGGCCACGGCGAGGGCGCTCCGCCAACCCGCATCGCCGCCGTCACCGCTGTTGTCATCAGCGCCGTCGTCGTCGCCGCAGCCGTCGTCCTCGTCATCGTCGCCATCGCCGTCGCTCCCGAGCTGCTGCGCCGCCGCTGCCGCAGCCGCCGTCGTCGTCGTCGTCGTCCGCGTCGTCGTCGTCGTCGTCGTCGTCGTCGTCGTCGTCGTCGTCGTCGTTTGTCTTCGTTGTCGTCGTCATCGTCGTCGTCATCGTCGTCGTCGTCGTCCTCGTCGTCGTCGCCGTTGTCGTCGTTATCGTCGTCGTCGTTATCGTCGTCGTCGTTTGTCGTCTGTCGTTTGTCGTCGTCGTCGTCGTCCTCTGTCGTCGGCCTCATTCTTCTCTGGTCGTCCGTCGTCCGTCGTACGTTGTCCGTCGTCGTCCGTCGTCCGTTGTCCGTCCTCCGTCGTTCGTCGTCCGTCGTCCATCGTTTGTCTTTTGTCGTTTGTCGTTTGTCGTTTGTCGTCTGTCGTTGTCGTCCGTCGTGCGTCGTCCGTCGTCCTTCGTTTGTCCGCTGTCGTCCGTCGTTGCCATCATAGAGGGAGGCGGGGTCGGGTGGGGGGCGGGAGAGGCAGGAAGAGCGTGAGGAGGATGAGGAGGAGGGGGAAGAGGAGCAAGAGAGCAGGAGGATGACGAGGAGCATGAGGATAATGAGGATGCCAGGGGCGATGATGATGACGATGCTGATGGTTCTGATGATGATCATGTTGGTGACCATGATGGTGATGGAGTAGGGAGGGGGATGAGGATTCGGGTGGTGGTGGCGGCGGGGGAGGAGATGGGGTGATGATGATGCTGCTGCTGATGAGGATGACGTTGTTGTTGATGATGCTGATGCTGTGATGATGAGGATTCTGCTGATGCTGAGGATGACGATGTTGATATTGTCGACGAGGATCATGATCGAGATGATAGTGATGGCGTTGATGATTGTGATGATGGAGATGACCATGGCGATGATTCTAATGATCATGATTTCGATGACGAATGTGATGATGATAGTGGTTGTGAGGCTGCTGCTAATGGATGGTGGCAATTCTTATGACCACGATGGCGGCGATCGCGACGACCAGGATTAACGTGCATATGATGCTGCTGGTGCTGCTGCTCAAGATGATGATGCTGATGCTGCTAATAATGATGACGATGATGATGATGATGATGAGGATGATGATGAGGAGGATGATGATGATGATGATGATGATGATGATCATGTTCATGATGATACCGATAATGCTGATGCTGATGATGGTGTTGATGATGACTACGGTGATGCTGATGCTGGCGATGATGACAACGATGATAACGGTGGTTGTGACGGTAATGGTGGTGGTGGTGGTGATGGTGATGATACTGATGCTGATGTTAATGATGATGATGCTGATGATGCTGATGCTGGTGATGATGATGATGCTGCTGATACTGATAAAGATGATGCTGCTGATTCTGATGATTACGATGACGATGCTGATGGTGATGATGATGCTTATGCTGATGATAATGTTGATGATGATGATGATGGTGGTGGTGGTGGTGGTAGTAGTGATGGTGACGCTGATGATGATGCTGGTGATGATAGTTATGCTGCTGATTATGAGGATGATGCTTGCTACTGCGATGCTGTTGCTGCTGCTCATGACGATGATGATGCTGATGATGGTGGTGATGGTGCTGATGATGATGCTGGTGGTGATGACGATGATGCTGATGCTGATGATGCTGCTGATGCTGATGCTGCTGATGCTGATGATGCAGATGCTGTTACTGCTCATGCTGATTGGGGTGAAGTGGGGGAAGAGAAACGGGACCCGGGAGGAGCGAGGCGGAGAAGTTGGAAGAGTGGGGGGAGGATGAGGAGCAGGATGATGATGCTGCTGATGATGCTGATGCTGATGCTGATGCTGATGCTGATGCTGATGCTGAGTATGCTGCTGCTGCTGCTGATGCTGATGATTCTGCTGATTATGCTGATGATGGTGATGCTGTTGCTGCTGCTGTTGCTGCTGCTGATGATGCTGCTGATGATGATGATGACGAGGAGGAGGAGGTGGAGGAGGAAGATGAGGAAGAGGAGGAGGAGGAGGAGGAGGAGGATGATGATGATGAGGAGGAGGAGGAGGAGGAGGAGGAGAAGAAAGTGGAGTGGGGATGGGCTACAGCACGAACCTGCCGCAAGGGGGGGGTGAGCGCTTCTTTTGAACTTGGCGCAGGCGGATGCTGCGGAGCGCATCGAGGAGGTAGAGGCCCTCGAGAAGGAGCCAGCGTGGCCTTGCCTCCTCTCTCCGTTTCCCCCTCGTGGGGCGGGGCGTGATGGGGATTATGATGATGATGATGATGAGGAGGAGGAGGAGGAGGATGAGGAAAAGGATAGGATGAAGATCGGGAGTGTGGGGAGGAGGAGGAGGAAGAGGAGGAGGAGGAGGAGGAGGAGGAGGAGGAGGAGAAAGAGGAGAAAGAGGAGGATGAGGAAAGGAATGAATTAATGAATGAATGAATGAAGGACGGAAGGACGGAAGGCAGGAAGGAAACAAGGGTTGGGAGTGGAGGGGGGGGAGATGGGGGAGGATGAGGAGGTCGTGGTGGAGGAGGATGATGGTGGAGGTGGAGGGATGGGGAGCAGGAGAGGGGCTAGGAGCATGAGGAGGATGAGACGGAAACTCTGGTAGAAGCGGCCAGAAGCTCTGGAAATCTCATTCGCTGCTGAAGCTCTGGCTCTGGACGAGGCGGCGTTGGCCGTGATGAAGATCATGCGAACTCGCAACTTGTAGCTGCAGTGTTGTCTACAATGCCTTACTTCCACGAGGTTGACCACGCAGCCTTGCATTTCCAATCGTGGCAGGTTCGATCTGCCAATACAGCTTGTGTTTTTGGCCTCACGAATGAAAGGATGATGGGGGATGGAGGATGGATGAGCTCCACATTTTGGTCAGAACGCACCCCTGTAGAGTTCTGGGGTCTCGATCCCTGATGGGGAGAGGAGGCGGAGGAGGAGGAGGAGGAGGATGAGAAGGGCTGTGAGGAGGATGATGAGGAGGAATCGGATCAGGAGGAGGAGAGTGAGCAGGAGTAGGAGGAGGAAATGGATGGAACCTTGATGAGAACGAGGAAGGAGGAAGAGGAGGATGATGCTGATGATGATGATGAGGGGGTAAACGGTATTTAAGTTGAGGCAACCGGTGACAGGATATTTATTCAGATGATATTGATGTAATCGACGACGACGGCGTTCATGTTGATGATTTGGTGATGATGTTGTTGATGATGATGATGATGGTGGTGGTGGTGGCGGCGGTGGTGGTGATGAGGCGGAGGAGGCGAAGGCGTGGAGGAGGAGGGGAGGGTGAGTGGAGGAGGAATGGCACGCAGGAGAGGAGGGGAGCTAAGAACACGAGGAGCATGAATAGGATGATGAGCAGGATCATTATGGCCAGGATGAAGGCAAGTGACCGTATGAGAAGGAGTAGGGGGATTCTCAAGAGGAGGAAGAGGAGGAGGATAGGAGGAGGAGGAGGAGCTCGCGAGGACCAGGATAAGGATCAAGATGATAAGCACGAGGAGGAAGAGACGGAGGAAGATGATGAGGGGCTGGATGACGATGACGATGACGATGACGACGATGACGACGATGACGACGATGACGACGATGACGACGGTGACGATGACAACGATGAGGATGCCGATGACGATGACGCTGACGGCGGTGGTGATGAGGAGCATGATGATGATGTTGATGATGATGATGCTGCTGCTGATGATGATGATGATGATGATGCTGATGACCATGCTGCTGCTGATGATGAGGATGATGATGATGATCCTGCTGATAATGACGATTACGTTTATGATGATGCTGCTGCTGATGATGATGATACTGATGCTGACACTGATGATGATGATGCTGATGATGTTGATGATGTTGATGATGATAACGATGATGATGGCGATGATGATGATGATGATGATGATGATGATGATGATGATGATGATGCTGATGATGGTGCTGCTGATGATGCTGATGCTGATGATGCTGATGGTAGTGATGGCGATGCTGACAATAATAACGACGATTACGGGTAGGGCGATACGGATTATGATGATGATGGCTGTGGCGATGATGGTTACGATTCTGACTACGATGATGCTGATGCTGACCATCATTGCAATGATGGTGGTAACACGGATGCTGATGATGAGTAGGTTGCTGACGATTGCGACGACGAAGACAACGATTTCCCCGTCAATGGTGATGACGATGATCATGCTGATCACGATGACGATGATGACGACGATGTCGATGACGCCGGCGCTGCTGGTGATGCTGCTGATGATAGTGACGATTCTGATGCTTGGTTATGGATGGTGGTGGACATGGCGATCGTTGGAGGGGGAACAAGGAGGATGAGGAGGAGCAGAAGGAGAAGGAGGAGGAGAAGGAGGAGGAGGTGGAGAAGCAGGAGGAGGAGGAGGAGGAGGAGGAGGAGGAGGAGGAGGAGGACGAGAACCACCAGGAGGAGGCGGAGGAGGAGGAGGAGGACCAGCGCAAACCCAAGACGCACCAACGATGTTGCCATAAACACTTCTTCCAAGTTCCCTCTTCATAGGTCCCAGCAAGATTTTTCATTGCGGGAAATGCCCCATTGAAAGACAGCGTCCTGAGAACCCTCAACCGTCCCAAAAACGTTTCCTGGGCTTTGGTCGCTGCCAATCAACATGCCTGTTGTGTTCTGATATTCCTAACTAAGTCGCCACCATTCCTGGGCCTTCAGCCCTACGAATCCGCCAGCCCGACGAATCCTTGAAACGCTGGCAAACTTTGAAGATGAATGCGCGCGGCGCTAAAGCGAGAGCCACATTTTGAAAAGGAACCGCCTTCCATCCTTGAATTTGCTGCACACTTTTCAGGATAATGTGCGCGACGCTGGAGCCAGAACAACAGTATGGAAACTACCAACCAGTCTTTTATCCTGTAATGGTTTCAAATCTTAAGATAAAAAAGCGAGTGTGCGCGACGCTGAGGCGAGAGGCACATTTTCCTGGTACGGGCTCCAGCCCAGGATTCTCGTTTGGTTTGGGGCCGCAGGCCCTGTACCAGAAGGGTGTCAAGCAGTAGGCGTCGGAATTGGACAGGTGCAAATGCATCTGCGGAGGGGGGGGGGATCTCCAGCATGAGTCTCGGCATGCGTGCGTTTGGCATGTGTGTGTTCACGTGCTTCGGGCCACGACGGGGCCGCAGGCGAGGGACCCAACTTGCGGGTGGCGCATTCCCTGCTCGTGCAAATGCGTGCGCGGAGGGGGGGGGCAACCTGCCCTTGGTGACGCGTGCGCGCGGGACACGTGTTTTCACGTGTCCAAGGGGCCCCAGAGGGACCCAACTTGGGGGTTGGCGGGTCCCTTGCGCGCAGAATTTCGTGCGGGGGGGGGGTAAACGGAGGGGAGGTCCAACATGCGCCTGGCGCGTGCGCGCGGAGCACGTGTTTGCACATGTTGCGGGCCACGAGGGGGCCCGCAAGCGAGGGACACAATCTGCAGGCGGCGAGTTCCCTGCTCGTGCAAATGCGTGCGCGGAGGGGGAGGGCCACCACATGCCCCTGGCGCGTGCGCGCGGGGCACGTGGTTTCGCGCGCCCACGGGGCCCCCGGAGGACTCATCTTGGAGGTGGCGAATTCGGGAAGCCGTGGAACTCTTGCAACTTTTGAAAACGAATGTGCGCGGCGCTGAGGCGAGAGCCGCATTTTGAAAACCACCCGCCCTCCATCCGCGAAGCTCTTGCATTCTTTAAAACGAATGTGCGCGGCGCTCAGGCGAGAGCCACATTTTGCAAACCACCCGCCTTCAATCCGTGAAACTCGTGCATTTTTTAAAGCGAATCTGCGCGGCGCTAAGGCGAGAGCCACGTTTTGAAAACCACCCGCCTTCAATCCGT